TTTGGGTCTCATCCAATCCGTCGGCTTTTCTTAATTTACTTCTTTTCTCGTTTTTTTTTTTGTTTTATTAGCGCTTTATTTTAAACACCTTCTGGAGAGAGCTTGCTCGTGGAGGCAATGGCAGCAATGAAGCATAGCAGTGGCTGGAGACCAGCACGAGCCTAGATGGCGGTTGGTGGTGAAGTGGTTGGTGAGCCTGAGTGGTACTTCGCGTAGCATGAGTGAAAGCATGTACAGTGCGGGGGAGAGCGAGCCCTCGTGGAGAAAGCCCTGGATGGAGCCACTGCAGGCTCATGGTTTTAAAAAGGACAATAATACTTAACTTCTAACTTTATTTCTTTACTTTTCTACTTTATACTAAAAAGAACTGTAATGATGAACTTTTTAAACTTATTTCCTAATTTTTCTATTTTTGTACCTGAGATTTTGTATCGAGGTACCTAAGATGGTGACACTGTGCACTTTTCACTATACTCCTGTACTTGAGTACACATGGCAATAAAACCTAATTCTAATCTAAAATCTCACAGCTGTATGCAGTTTTGCTTTAAGAACCATGCTCATGATATCCTCACCGTATCATAGCATGTGACATGAGGGTATAAAGGTCTCAGATTCCATTTTAACTCAGGCCACTTGAGACAAGACACATTGATCAAAATGTGCGACTGTTTGTAATGGAATAGGTTAACATTACCTCAAGCTTCTTTTATGTGTACATCAGGAGCTCTAATAAATCTCTATGAATTTTTCAATACCTCATTGCTCACATCTTATTTTAATGTAGTATTGCTACATCAGGTCTAACTAGTCTATGCAGCACAGAGTCCACATTTCAATAACAGTGGAAGAAGCCATTCATGAGTAAGATATGGATGTACCACATCAAGTGTTGTCTCATTTAGCTCATTTTCTTAATTTAAGAATTCAACGTCAGAATTGGATTCAGTGTTTCCGAGCAGGGTTGAGTGCTTTGAAGAATGACACATTCCATGTGATGACTTTTGAACTACGCTTAGTAGTGATCAATGATACTTTTGTATCAGTTACGACAAAGGCTTGGATTTTATCAGAGGTTGTTTATTTACAAACATGACCATCTCCTTTCACAAAAATTTGATCTCCTGTATTTAAGCAGTTAACCTTTGAATTTCATGTGTTTATTCTCATTCGATCATTCTGTTCTCAATCTTGCTCATGTCATCTGCAAATTTACTAACCATACCTCTTACATTCACATTCAAATAATCTATATAAATGGCAAAGAGCGGTGGACCTAGCACCTATCCTTGCGGTACACCACTGGTCGCAAGCCTCCAGTCTAAAAAGCAACGCTCAACCACCACACTCTGTCATCTACCTTCAAGACAATTTTGTATCCAAATAGCTAGTTCTCTCTGTATTTCACCTGTTCTAACCTTGTTGACCAGTCTACCATGCGGAACCTTGTTGAACACCTTCCTGAAGTCCATATGGACAATGTCCACTACTCTTCCTTCATCAGTCCTCTGCATCATTTCTTCAAAAAACTTATTCAATTTACACAATTTCTCATGCACAAAGCCATGTTGATTATTGCTAATCAGTCCTTGCCTTTCCAAATACATATAAATCCTATCCCTCAGAATCCCCTCCAACAACTTGGCTACCACTGATGCCAGGCTGATGTCTGTTCCCTGGCTTTTCCTTACCACCTTTCTGAAATAGTGGCACCACATTAGACAACCTCCAGTCTTCTGGCTCCTCACCTGTGGCTATCAATGGTACAAATATCTCAGCAAGGGCCCCAGCAATCACTTTCCTAGCTTCCTACAGAGTTCTAGGGTACACCTGATCTGGTCCCAGGGATTTATCCATCTTTAAGTGTTTTAAGATGTTCAGCACCTGTCCTCTGTAATATGGACACTTTTCAAGATATCACTATTTATTTCCTCAAGTTCTCTAGATTCGATATCCTTCTCCACAGTGAACATTACTGCAAAATATTTATTTAGTATCTCACTATCTCCTGCAGTTCCACACAAAGGCAGCTTTGCTGATCTTTGAGGGTCCCTATTCTCTCCCTAGCTACTCTTTTGTCCTTAATGTATTTGTAGAAACCAACTGGATTTTCCTTAACTCTATTTGTCCCCTTTTTGTCACTTCTTAGCATTTTAGTGAATCCAAGCAAAGTGGAAATCTAATCAAGTTTTGAGGGGACTACTTTTGTGGAAGTTTAATCAGCTATTTTCACGGCAGGGAACCTGTTTCGGTCATCAGTGATGCCAAGTTATTGTTTTGCCAGTGGGTAAAACTGCAAAATCAACACTGAACTCTATCTGGAGTTCTTTAAGCATCTTGAGAGGATGATGAAGATTTGACATTTCAGATGCTCGGCTTGGCAAACACTAATTAGTTTGGTCAATTCCCAAAAACCGACCTGTATTGGAAGCAGTTGTTTTTTTTTGACAAGTCCCTCTAAACCTTCATGTGTCATATTGATACCTTTCATCAGTGTTTGGCAGTAAACTTGGTACATAACGTGAAATCTGTTGCAGTTATGACGATGAGCTCAGTTTGAACAATGTGATGACTTTGTGAGTGAGTTCATTTGTGGCTGTTTTCTTAGTCACATCTTTCTAGTTATGTGACCACACAGTTGTCATACATAGATGGAATATCTAGTCTGGTTTTGTGCTGTTTGATGTTTGGCACAACATTTAAGCTTGTATAAGTTAAGATGTTCCTTAACAATCATTTCCTCATATCTCATTTATGGCTGAATGTTGGCACAAAAAAAAATTATCACATTAACTTGCCTGCCTTACAATTATCACGCATACATGTACCACAGTAGGTTGAGTACTCAATGTTTCTCAAGTGGGTGGTGTGTTCTTGTGGGTTTTTAAAGAGGTTACTACTGGTTCATGGTTGGTTATCACTTCATATCTACTTTCACGCAAGTAGAGATGAAAATGTAAAATGCCTTGTAATAGAGATCACTGCTGCTTCTGATTGAGAACAACATTGCTCCCATCTTCTCTCAAGGTTCAAAATCAAAATTCCTAAGAGAACCCTTTCAAGTGTCCCTTAGCAATTATAAGAAAGCACTGTGGACTCAAGTCTCTGCAGGGATGATTCTCCTCGGTTAAAGGTATCAGCTATTCCAGTCGAATAATTATTCCAGTCAAATTATAAGACAATGGTGGATGGTACCATATTTGCATGCATTATTGCCCCCCACCCCACCAAGTCTAATTCTTCTTTGTATTTACAGAGTTTGCTAATTTAGAGTCAACATTAACTTTATTTAAAAATACATCTTACTGTGGCTTCATCTTATCGTGAGGTTAAGAGAGTAAGACTGGATGATATTGCATCAGTGCCCATGTCTTATTAGTATATCACCTAATCCCAATAATCACTTCAACTACACTCTAGGAATCTGCTGTAGCCCAGCATCATGACTCTGATGTTCCTTTCTCCACTGCTGCTGGCAGTCTCCACCCCTTTGCGAACCTCCACACATTTGCCAATCTCCACAGCTTTTCCAATCTCCCTGCTGCTGCCAATCTCTCCATTTCCAATCTACCAGTCTATTCACTGCTCCCAATCTACCTCCTTTTGTCAATCTACACAATGGTATCAATGTATTCACATTGACCAATCTGCCCATTGGCACCAATCTACAGGCTGCTGCCAGCCTATCCAGTGGTGTCGATACCCCCTCTGCTTAGCATCACTGGAGCAGCGGGCCTCAGTGCACACGCTTTTCCCAAGCTCGTATGTCAGACTAACAGCATGAGACTGCTCCACTACATATGGTAACGTTGTAATTCAGCGGCTAGCACTGCTGCCTCACAGCACCGGGGAACCAGGTTCAATTCCACCAGCAGGTGATTGCCTGTGTGGAGCTTACACGTTCTACCCATGTCTGTGTGGGTTTATTCCGGGTGCTCCGGTTTCCTCCCACAGTCCAAAGATGTGCAGGTTAGGTGCTTTGACCATGCTAAATTGGCCATTGTGTCCAGTGATGTGCAGGCCAAGTAGGTTAGCCATGAGAAATACAGGGTTACAGGGATAGGGTAGGGAGTTGGGACTGCATGGGATGTTCTTCGGAGGATTGGCGCATACTGGATGAACCAAATGACCTGCCTCCACACAGTGGGGTTCTATGATTCCATTGCGTTAAGTAGTAATCCATGCTCAAGATCCCACTCAAATGCCTATGAAACAAGTTTTAATTGGCTTTACTCTTCACTTGTGGAGTATCCTGACTTTGATGCTCACCTGCCTGTGGGACTGATGGAATTAGCAGGTCACCCTGTGGGAAACTGAGGCAAAAGGATTGTCAAGCATCCAGGGTTGGCATGCAGTAGCTAGGAATTGATGATAAATCTCCGGCCTGCTTGCACAACCCTGAAAAAGTGCCAGAGGGATAACAAATAATGGTTTCTCAATACAATTGTTTATACCTGATATAAAAGAATGTCAATTGGAGGAAAGGATACCTTGGGTAACAATGAAGCATCTTCCAATGGGACTAATGAGTTTCCATTTAGCACAGGAATGCAGTGCATCTCCAGACTGATGTATAGGGCTGACAATAACTAAAGCCTGGAGGAAATCATTTGATGAAACATCCATTGGTACATTTGGTTACAGTTGACACTCTCATTGAACAATGGCATTTTTTATAACCTGTTTTCAAGTTAGAACAAACTGCACTTTTTCAGGCTTTGTGATGCAGTGTTCTCACTGATTCCTTTGTGTAGTTATTCCTGTTGCTGGTTCTCTTACAAATGCTGTCAAACCTGTCTCTGTAGAAAAACTGAAATTCTATAGTATTTAAAGGTAATGTAGTCACGCACTAGAAATATTCAGTGTGAAAATTGAGTAATTAGGAACAGGTTTAATCCAGGAATTTGAATGTCACCAGAGATTTACTAAACAGATAAGGACTGCTTCTAAAATGTAGCAGGAACTGCCTTCAGATTGTTTAGTCACCATTATCTGGTGGATGAAGCCAAATCATTTCTAGAGGATTCTTGGAACAGTGTGAAGTTTGAAGCCTTTTGACAAAGGTGTCAATGTTGAACCCCTGAGGAAGTGCAAGAATTATTCATAGATTTCCAAAATAGACATGAGTGGCTTCACCATATCTGGGTTGTTGCAGAATAAACATCAAACATATTCTTCAAAGGATCTGGTGAGTATTTTTATCAAAACATGACTGATATGTAATGTAAAATCCTGAGAAGTGCTGATAATTTGGGGGTTATTGTGAATTGCAGAGTCTCTCTTCACTCTCTGTGGGATTCAGTGTGTTTCAAATTGACAAGGGAGTGCTGCTAAATGGAGCAGATGGCTTAGAATTTACAGGATCTTTGACAAAATTACTCCCAATACCCATTTGGATGGGAGCGTGACCTCATGAGTGGCTGCAAATGCAGATTAAAGTAGAAACATTCAAGTTGCAGTTGGCCATTCTCTGATCCACCAGAGATTGGGCTGTAACACGCAATCTCCCCCATCATAGATAAGGTCAGAAACCAGACAACACCAGTGTGTAGTCCAGCAGATTTTATTGAAAACACAAGCTTTCAGAGCTTTGCTCCTTCTTCAGGTGTTAGTGAGAAAGGTTTATAAGTATTTATAAGTAAAGAATTTATAAGTAAAACGTCAAAGGGTCACACCACTGATGAGGACGTATTAAACAAACCTAAGATACTGTTAAATCTTTAATCAGTTAGAAGGTTTTAATTGATTAATATATATGTGTAAATTCACGAATTCTTTTCAAGTCACTGTCCTGAGAGAACTAAAGGTTTTATCAGTGTAAAGAAGAGGTGACATTTTAGGTCACAGATAGCAAACAGCACCATTAATGATCTGACAAGAACAACCCATTTCTGTTCTCACATCACTGTTAGAAACATCATAAAAATATAGTCTTGTTCAAAGATGGCTAATTGGGATTTGAGCAGTCATTTGATTAATAACAACACTTTATGTAATAATTTACAACTGATCTGACCTTGAGAATATAATTTTATTTGTGAAATCTTGTTAAACATGATTAATTGCTGTATTTTTTAAATAATAACTTTCGCTCATGCTGTAACAGCTTGTACATAATCAGCTCCCTGTGTCCCATTTTTTATGTTACTCTGTAATTTTCCTTTGAAGTTAGCTTTTTTATTATCAATTTTTATCCTTCTTAGCTGTCTGGAAAAATTCTTTAATCTGCTTGGTTGAACGGGCAACTTGATAGTTTACAGCAGTTTAGTAATGGTAATCTCCATTTATGTATTCCGCCAGCACTTGCACATTTCAAAACAGAAAGCCTCGACTACTGACATAGTTAGATATTTCTTCACTGCTCCTTTCACTGTCTGTGACAGGGATGGGGTGCTTGTTATATCGCTGACCACAAAGGTGGGTGTTTCTTTAATGTACAAGTCATACTTTTTACTTGAACCGTAGTCTGAGAAAGGATAGCGTCTTCATTGCCACTTCCTCTCCTTCTCTCAGGCTGCCACCGACGAACGTGTGAGCGAAAGTGATGAGAACGTGAAAAGAGGTAACTGGTCCTCGAAGACTGACTACTTGCTCTCAGTGATCGGCTGTGCCGTGGGTCTGGGCAATGTCTGGAGATTCCCTTACCTGGCTTACAGAAATGGAGGAGGTAATGCAGATCAATCCAAAATACAGCAAAGAGAAAGCAAAATTAGAAAGTCATTTTGAAAGCATAGTAAATTAACTGAAAACTGAACCAGTTTATTGTGATACAGAGTTAGAAAATGCTGCTATAAAATTGATGATCAAGTTCAATCTCACAGCCTTAAAATATTTACACACTATTTTTGGAATGATGAATCAATATTTTATTGTTATGGTAACAGTGTAGTGCGTCAAATAGATTATAATTAAAATGAATATGAACAAGTTTTGAGATGTTTGTTCAATTGATAATTTACTAATTTTAAACATCGTTGAAGTGTTATTGTTGAACATGCTTGAATTGTACACATTTGCCACATGTCATGACATATAATTTTTTTAAATAGAAAAATTGTATGCTGAACTGCTAAATGGTGAATTTTAGAAGGTGGCAACTTTCCTGGAAGTTCATTGATTTATTGCACTTTCAGAATTGAAGCTAAGATCTAAACTCTTCCCAAACGCTAATGTTAATTCACATCATAAAATCACACAGTCATCTGAACTATTAAAAGAAGAGAGAATGAAGATAATTGAATTTTCATATTAGGAAAAGAATAATTGAACTAAAATCATTCTGGCTCAATAGATAAAAAAGCTAAATGGAAAGATAAATCGACAGATAGACAGACATACAAGCTTTCAATGTGATTTTAGGAGTTCACCTTGAATGTGTATTTCAGTTCTATTCACCTTTAAAACTCATTGAATTTTTTTCCCCTATTTTCCAGGTGCATTCCTTATTCCCTACACACTCATGCTGGCACTTGTCGGGATGCCAATGTTTTTCTTGGAATCTTCCTTTGGACAGTTTGCCAGCCTTGGGCCTGTTGCCATCTGGAAAGCTGTGCCCATGTTACAAGGTTAGTGTTTATTTGGCAGCAGTCTGATTGTGCAGTGGCGACCTCTAGGTCTGTGAAAGCTGCTGGTCTCTGAATTGTCTGCAGGACTTCAAGACTGAAGCTTGCAATTCACTGAGAAGCTCGACACTCAGCCATTAAGTTGCTGATTGGAGCTTGATCCAGTGTGCTTTCTCACTAGCGGATGCAGGGAGTGAGTCACTCTTGAAGATACCCATGCCTACACATTCTTTGAAGCACAAATCCCATCGTGTGTGGAATTATTCCAGTTACTGATGACTGACTTGACTTGGGTTTAAATCCCACCTGCTCCCAGAAGTGTGCCATAACATGTCTAATTAAACTAATTAAAATATCTAGAGCAAAAGAAAACAATTGTCTTTCTTCCTCATCATTGTATAATTTATATTTATTAAGTTTTCACACAAGATAACAGTGTAACATCTGAATGCTAATGCATTCTTGTGTTTACATTAATTATTTAAAAGCTTAACTGTTTATAATAAATTATGTCATTAAAATGCATCTTGTGTTAATCTATGGAATTACTCCAGACCATATAGATGCAGACAAGACTGAATCTTTGGAATGTAGGCATTTTATTTCCTGATGGTGCAGTTTGTGTTTGTTAACATACTACCTTGTGCTTTAACCTGCAGTAATGCTCAACATTTGAAACAGCAGTTGCTCCAGTCTACTGCACCATGATCTACATTTTTGTTTTGCTCTACATTCCCTGCTGCCTATAACTTATATTTTAAAAGTCTCCTAATCTCAATCTTGAATATTAACAGTCTTGGCAGAGAGAACTTATGACCAATATACTTTATGAGAATGGTCACTTTCTCACTTCACTCAGGATCGAATGAGCTCCAATACTAAGTTTGTGTTCTCCTGTTATGAATTCTAGGAAACAGAAAAGGCATGTTGTCCACACATGAATTATTTAATCATTTAAAATTCCTTGTAATAATCGAGGATTTAAATTTCCTAATATCAACTGGGAGTTCCATAGTGTTAAGGGCTTGGATGGAGAGAAATTTATTAAATGTGTTCAAGCAGAATTTCTCATGCAGTTTGTAGATGTCCCTTCTAAAGAAGGGACAAAACTTGACCTCCTCTTTGGAAATAAGGCAGGGCAAGTGACGGAAGTGTAAGTAGGGAAGCACTTTGGGATCAGTGACCATAATTCATTAGTTTTAAAATAGTTTTTGAAAAGGATAGACGTGGTCCACAAGTTAAAGTTTTAAATTCAGGCAAGGCCAATTCTGATGTTCTTAGGCAGGGGCTTTCAAAAGTTGTTTAGGGGAGGCTGTTTGCAGGCAAGGGGATACCTGGTAAGTGGGACGCTTTCAAAAGTGAGGTAATGAGGATTCAGGGCCAGCATGTTCCTGTTAGAGTGAACGTTAATGCCGGCAGGAGCAGGGAACCCTGGATGACTTGAGTTATTGAAGTAATTTGTTTTGAAAAAGAAGAAGGCAAATGAATGTATTAGCAGCTGGGTTCAAGTGAATTCTTTGAGGAGTATAGAGTGTGTCAGAGTACACTTTAGAAAGAAATCAGGAGCGCTAAAATGGGACATTAGATAGCATTGGCAGATAAAGTAAACAAGAATCCAAAGAGATTCTACAAGTACATGAAGGGCAAAAGAGCAACTAGGGAGAGAATAGTGCCATGTAAAGATCAACGAGGTCATCTACGTTTGGAGCCACAAGAGATGGATGAGATTCTAAATGAATATTTCTCGACAGTATTTACCGTCAAGAAAGATATGGATGCTAGAGAACTTGGGGAAACAAATAGTGATGCCTCGAAGAGTGCCCACATTACAGAAGAGGTGGTGCTAGAAATCTTAAAATGCATTAACATAGATAAATCTCTGGTACCTGATAAGGTGTATCCAGGGCTTTGTGAGAGGCTAGGGAGGAAATTGCAGGGCCCCTGTTAGTGTTATTTGTATCCTCAACAGCCATGGGTGAAGTGCCCAAAGGTTGGAGGATGGCTAATGTGGTAACATTATTTAAGAAAGACTGCAGGGAAATGCCTGGGAACTACTAACTGGTGAGCCTTATGTCCATGGTGAGTAAATTGTTGGAAGGGATTCTGAGAGGCAGGATCTATAAGTATTTGGAGAGGCAAGGACTCATTTGGGATAGGCAGCATGGCATTTTGGATGGGAAATTGTGACTCATGAATTTGATTGAGCTTTTGAAGAGGTCACCAAGAAAGTAAATGAGGACGGTGCGTAGATGTTGTTCACATGGACATTAGCAAGGCCTTTGACAAGTTACCGCATGGTGACTTGTTGAGTAGGGTTAAATCTCACGGGATCCAGGAATCGGTAGCCAATTGGATACAAAATTGGTTTGATGGTAGAAGACAGAGTGTGGTGGTAGAAGGTTGTTTTACAAAATGGAGGCCTGTGATCAGCAGTGTGCCAGAGGCACCTGTCTCCACACTGTAGGGATTCTATGCTTCCATGAGAGACATTGACAATGGCCCCAATCGTGTACCATCAGCTGGGGAGCTGCACAGACAGCAGTCAGGAATCTGGGCACTCATGTCTCAGGGCTGCTTGTGGATGCCTGATGGAGGTCTGGAGCAATTGCAGTCCTGGTAGTCTGTCCATTGATCGCCAGGTAAGGACCAAAGGGTGGGGGAGTGGTGGTTGGGCCTGAAGGAGCAGCAGGTAGATCACTACCATAGCCATACAGTCATTAAGTCATACAGCACAGAAACATACCCTTTGGCCCAACAGGAGTGGGGGATGCCAAAACTGGAAAGAGAAAAAAAAAAATCATTTGTGGAGGTGGGAGCAAGAACAGTAATGGGGGAAATCTCAAGGTCTAATGGGGTGTTGGCAGAACAGCATCAGAGCCATGGTAGATTACAGTAGGAGGGAGGGGGTTATTGGCAATTACCATCACCTTGGGGAGTGTCGAGGAGCAGGGTGGGCATCACTAAGGTGTAGTAAGAACTGCTGATGCTGAAGTCTGAGATAACACAGTATGGAGCTGAAGGAACACAGCAGACCAGGCAGCATCAAAGGAGCAGGAAAGCTGACATTTCGGGTTGGGACCCTTCTTCAGAAATCTTGAAGAAGGGTCTTGACCCGAGACGTCAGCTTTTCTGCACCTCTGATGCTGCCCGGCCTGCTGTGTTCCTTTAGCTCCACACTGTGTTATATCACTAAGGTGTGATGTGGGGGCTCAGGGAGCAATGAGTACAGTTGGAGGTGAAGTTCTGGTCCCATTACTTTTCTAGTCGATGGCAAATCTCAGGTTGTCAATAATGAGGGACTTCTTAATGGTAATGCTATTAAATGTCAAGGCAAGATGGTAATCACCCACTTTGTTAGTGATGGTCACTGTAAAGCACTTTTGTTATGATGTTAGTTATAATGTCACCGTACAGGTCTTGCTGCATGCAGTCACACTAAATCATTGTCTGAAATTTTGAAAATTGAACTGAACATTATGTCAGAGGGAAAGCCACTGATGAAGGAGCTGAAGAGTGTTGGGTCTTGGAAATAGTGCTACGGAACTCCACCAGCCACATCCTCAAATAACTTGGACTGTCTTCTCTTATGCTTGGTTTGGTACCAGGCAGTAATTTGCTCTAAATTCAAATTAAGTGGAACTCCTTGTTGTCGCATTTGCTCAAATGCTGGCATGTGGAGTGAACTGAATTAGCTCAAGATTAGCAATTGTAATACCGGAGACTTTCTTATTTTCCCATTATTGTTTTAATCAAGCTTTCTCAATCTGCTAGATTGTGACTTCTCCTCACGTTTGTAGGATTTTTTTTTCTGTCAGTTTGATCCTGTTTCTTGCCTCATTTGTTACCTATTGTTGTTACGCTGCACAAATGGAATTCTTGTCTCCAGGGTTTTTACTGCTTTTGTGTCATACCAAAAATTACTTTCAAAATGTCCTACATTTCGATTTCAAGTTTATTGTGGCCAATTTAGCTCACATCCATTTAAAGTAAACACTTAACATCTTGGTTGCGATTCCTCCCTCTCAATCCAAACATCAAATGTAATTATATCCACGTACACCCCAGCTCCTTCCATGTCAGGGTCTTAAATTCAGTCTCCAACTCAGCAACTCCAATCTGGGAAGAATCAAGGCGTAACCTGATTGGAATTTCACGGTTGGCAAATATTCAATTTTGATAGGTCACTCTCATTGTCTCAGTAATAATGTATATCATACCAATGCAGATACTTCAAATCAACCTGTTCAAAGTTTTACAACACACCTCTGGAGCAGGTTGGGATTTAAATCCATGCCTCCTGGTCCTGTGGCAAAGATAGTAACACTGAACTACAAGACCTTTAACATTACTAATGTAGATCCAATATAGAGATATTATGACACCACCTCGAGGAGCAAATGTGACTTAAACCCAGGCCTCCTGGTCCAGAAGTAGAGATACTTCTACTGTGCCAGAAGAGTCCTTATCAATATAATTTGTACCTGGCTGCTATCATGTAATTAGCTACATCTTGCTTAAGGCAAGGGCGTCATTTCATTAATGTTCCACTGATTGCAACAAGCCACTCCATGCAAAAAAGTACACTTGGTTTGTTTAACCAGCATAGCCCATGTCAATTTTCTGTTTCAGATCATTAGTGCTCAATGTAATCTCCTCTTCTTTCTTCTATCCTCAGGTGTGGGGATTGCAATGGTCCTTGTGGCCACGATTGGTGACATTTCTTACTGCTGCATCATTGGCTACAGTCTGTACTACCTGTTTGCCTCCTTCCAATCACCCCTACCATGGACAGACTGCTTCAGTTGGTGGGGAGCAGATGAAACATGCAGCAGGACTCCTAAAGGTACAGTACTCACTTCAGTTGAGAAAATTGCAGATAACGACTGTTCATTCTGTTACTGTTAAGGGCGGCATGACGGCTCAGTGGTTAGCACTGCTGCCTCACAGCACCAGGGACCTCAGTTTGATTCCACCCTCAAAAAACTATCTGTGTCTGCATGAGTTTCCACTGGGTGCTCCAGTTTCCTTCCACAGTACAAAGATGTATAGGCTAGGTGGATTGGCCATGCTAACCTGCCCATAATGCCCAGGGATGTGTATACTAGGTGTGTTAGCCATGGGAAATGCAGCGTTACAGGGAATGGGTAGGCAGATGGGGATGGGTCTGGTTGGGATGCTCTCGGGAGTGTCGACTTGTTGGGCTGAAGGGCCTGTCTCCACACTGTAGGGATTCTATGATTCTATGAGAGACATTGACAATGGCCCCAGTCTTTCAACAGGAAGATTCTTGTTCAGCCACAAAGACAGGAGGGTTCTGATATATCCACTTGAATATTTCGTCAGGAAATGTTAGACAATGAAAATTTGCACTTACTCCTGGGTGACTATCAAACTCAACATAGCACTTACACCCACTTCTGCAAACACACTACCAGCCCATCACAATCACCAAAACATCCCACATCCTCTGCCCCTGGCCTGACCCCTCCCAATGGCCCAAAGTCTCAACTACCCTACCCGCACATGATTCATCACCGGCTCCCACCCTCCTGACCTTCCAACTCCACACTTGGACCCACCACTTCTCTCTTCTCCGTGATTAATCTCTTCCTGTGGACGTGACACAATATTCTGCCCAGCCACAACCTAATTCCAGTAATCCCTCCTCTCCCAATCCAACCTAATCCAAATTGCCATCCCAAAACCCATGACCTCTCCCCGATGATATACATACCCACAATGTCCCAACTCACCTCCGATCTGTCAGCCTGCAGCCTATCTTACCTCCTCATTCATTTACCTGCCATTCCACTCCCCTGCTCAATAGCCATACCCCCTCACCCCTGCACCTGTACCAACAACCCAGCTGGCAAGTATACCCACTTACCCACCAGGAACATTCATCCCTTGACCCATCGGCATTCCAGTGCTCTACCGCACCACCCCAATTATACAGTAATCTAGAATGGCACCATCTGGCACCCAAATCCCTCACCCACCTGACACACTACTTCCTCACTCACCTGGCATTCTCCCCCTCACCCAGCTGCCATCCTGCCTCATTACCTGCCTGGGTCTCTACCTAAATAAAGGGAGAAAGTACTGGAGAAGCTCAGCGGGTCTGACAGCATCTCCAGAGAGAGAAACAGTTAATATTTTGAGTCCAAAATGACTTCTTCTGAACTGAGAAGGGGTTGGGAAATGGCACTTTACATGCTTTAAACGGCGGGTGGAGGAGGAGCAAGTGAAACAGATTGGAAGGATGCTCAGAGCCATAGACAAAGAGGTTTCTAATGGTGGTGAAGGAGAGATTGATATGTTAAAAAGGTGTAAATGGAGGTGCAAAAAGGAGAAAATGATCATTTCTACTGAGAGCTAATCTTCAGTAAGCAGGTTATAGAAGAGAAAATTCTGCTGGATAGGATTATTGATGACCACTTCTATCATTTTGTTGATGATCAAGAGTAGACTGATTGAGTGGTAATTGAATGGGTTGGATTTGTCCTACTTTTTGTGTTCAGGACATACCTGGGTACTTTTCCACATTTTATGGTAGATACCAGTGTTGCAACTATTTTGAAAAAGCTTGGTTAGGGGAGCAGAAAGTTCTGGAGCAGATTAATTTGGAGTTTCAGTGCTGTTCTGTGAATGTTGTCAAGGCCCACAGCCCTTGCAGTGTCCAATACATTCTTTGACTCTCACCTGTTTCTTGATATCATGTGAAGTGAACTGAGTTGGTTGAAGACTGGCATCTGTGATGTTGGAGTCCTCAGGAGAAGAACAAGGTAGGTCATCCACTTGGCAATTCTGACTTAAGAAGGTTGAAAATGGTTTAGCCTTGCTTTTACATTTTTGTGTTGGGTTCCTCCATCATTAAGGGTGGAAATATTTCTGAAACTTCTTCCTTCAGTGAGTTGTTTAATTATCCATCACCTTTCATGACTGGACATGGCAGTCCTGCAGAGATACAATCTGACAAGTTGGTTGTGAGATGGTTTAGCTGTCTATCACATGTTGCTCGCACTGTCAGGCATGCAATTACTCCTGTGTTGTAGCTTCACCTAGTTACAATCTCATTCTGAGATCTGCCTGTTGCATCCGATGTCTAATTTGATTCCAGTTGTCTTGTCCAGTTTCATCCTTTTTCTGTTTTGTAACTGTTTGACAGAACTGAGTCACTTACTTGGCCATTTCAGGGCATTTAAGAATCAATCACATTACTGTGGGTCTGGAGTCACATCTAGGCTAGAGCAGGTAAAGACAACATAGTTCCTTCCCTAAAGGATATTAGTGAAGCAGTGGGTTTTATGACAGTAAACAATGGTTACATAGCACCATCAAGCTTACTTTTAATTCCAGGCCTTTATTAATTTAATTCAAATTCCACCATTTGCCATGAAGTTTAAGCCCATTTACTCAGAATATTAGCCTGGCCCTCTAGATTACTAGCCTGCTGGTCATTATTAATTATTTGTTTAAATATCTGCCACTGTTTTTCTACCTACCTTTCCCTTAGTCAATTCTCCCAAGTGGTTTCAGATAATTCAATATGATGGGTTGAATAACCGCCTTTCATATTGTTAAATTCTATGATTCTAATTTTTCCTTCAAATAATTGCCCTTATTCAAGTTGAGAACAGTAGTTTAAGACCCGAGTTACTCTCCCTCAAACTGAATTTGAAGTTCTCACATCTTGTGATCACTACTCCTTAGATGATACTAAACAACAAGATCTCTTATTAATCCTTCCTCATTACATATTGGTCTATTTTAAAATAGCCTGATCCCAGGTAGGTTCTGCAATATACTGCTCTAAGAAACAATCAAAAATGCTCTCATCATGAACAAGGATCATAACATAAAATAAAGTCAATTAAGTAGGTATGAGTGGAGCCATGGATGAAGTTGACCAAAAGGTATGGCAGAAAATAAAATGTGTGAGATAGCTAAAGAAACAATTTAAAATGTTTAACTGAAATTATATCCACTGGAAAACAAAAGCTTAGCAGAAAGATCCATTGGTAGCTTCCTCAGGATGTTTTAATATGGTATTAGATTAAAATAAGAAAATAAAGTTGCCAGCCTGAAAATTGGGAGCATTTTAGAAACCAGCAAAGGGCCGTCAAAATTTTGATAGAAAGGGAGAAAATGAAAAATAAATATAAAATAGGAAGGAATATAGATAAAGGCTATAAGAGCTTTTACAAGTATTTAAAAATGACGGGAGTGACTAAAGTAAGTGTTAGAGAGAGGATGTATGTGGAATAGGAGATGGCAGAGATACATAAAAAAACCATAAACAAGGTACATACCAGAAAGAGATGGTAACCTCTGGGCTAAAAAAAAGTGAACAAATTAAGGAAATTAAAAGCAGAAGAGAGAAAGTATTGGAGGAACTTAAGGGACTAAAATCTAAAAAATTCTCAGGGATTGATCCCTACTAAAAAAGGTAGCTTCAGAGATAGTGAGTGCTCAGGTTATGATTTTCCTGAACCCCCAAGATTCTGGGACAGACCAAGCCAATTACAGGTGGCATGGTAGCTCAATGGTTAACACTGCTGTCTCACAGCGCCATGGACCAGGGTTCAACTCCACCCTGTGTGGAGTTTGCACATTCTCCCTGTGTCTGCATGAGTTTCCACCGGGTGTCAGTTTCATCCCACAGTCCAAAGATGCGCAAGTTAGATGGATTGACCATGTTAAATTGCCCATAGTGTTCAGGGATGTGTAGGTTAACCATGGGAAATGCAGGCTTACAGAGATAGGGCAGGGGGCTGGGGCTGGGTCTGGGTGGGATGATCTTTGGAAGGTCGGTGTGAACTTGTTGGGCTGAGTGGCCTGTTTCCGCACTGTAGGGATTCTACAAAAAGATTGGGAATTTCCAACTGTTGACAAGGGAACAATGAAAAGGATTGTCCCTCATTTATCACCATTCATGTGATATTCATACGTTTTAAGGGAGGGTGTAGTGAAGGAAGAGATGTGTGTGTTAGGTAGTTGGGTGTTTGGGGTCACAGGCTGGTCAGTGGGGTGTAGGTTGGCACGGTAGTAATTAACGAAGGTAGTCAGGCGGTGGGCTGGGATGTAGTCAGGGCAGGGGAGTAATTGGGTGGGTGGTCAGAGAGTACACAGCCTGAGCTGGCAGGGTAGTGTGACATCAAGGGTGGGTAGTGAGTAAGTTGGGTGGTGAAGAGAGTAGCTGTGCCACCTCACTGGAGGGGTGTAGACTAATCCAGGGGGTAGTTGGGTAGTCGTCAGACGAGAATCAAGGTTTGAGGTGGTTGGGGGCTGACCAGCTGTGATGGGGGGAAGAGGGGTAGGAAGACTTGCGGTTATGGTGTTATCCAGCTGATAGGCTAGGTTTTATTCCATGCAGCCTTCCCAGGATTAGTTTGCAGGGAAGTGCTATCTCTTTGGTCTAAGTCTCCATTCATTTGCAGAATGTCTAAGGCAGCAAAGAATGAGCCCATTGGATGTTTAAACTAGCCAGGCATTCCCATATGTGTCCAAATGCCAGGACCTGTGCAGGATCCTCATAAATATTGTCCGACATACATCCATCTCCCAGGATCCAGAAACCAGAACATTCGGTCATGAGTCATCAACTGTTACAGGAGGTCATGTGATTTCCATCAATCATGTCAGACAGTCATTGAGTTGTACAGCACAAAAACAGACCCTTAGGGACAATTCGTCCACACCGACCGGATATCCTAAACTGATTTAGATGCATTTGCCAGCACTTGCCTCAGATCACTCTAAATCCTTCCCATTGGGATAGAATTAGAATTGAGAACAGCTGTACCCCTTGGTTGAAGGGTCAATCACAAAGGGGCTTAGTCTTAGGGTAAGGGGCAGGAGATTTAGAGGGGATTTGGGAAAAAACTTTTCAGTCAGGTTGTGGGAATCTGGAATGCACTACCTGGGAAGGTAGTGGGGGCTTGACAATGTACAACTTTTAAAAAATATTGGGATAAGCACTTCAAATGTCATAACATTTGAGGATATTGGACAGGTGCAGGAAATTGGGATGAGCACACTTTTAGTGGTAGTTATGTCGGTACTCCACCACCTACTCTGGCATCTCGTTCCATACATGCACCACCCTCTCGTGAAAATGTTGCCTCTCAGGTACCTTTTAAATCTTTCCCATCTCACTTTAAATTGTACCTTCCAGTTTTGGACTCCCCTACTCAAGGAAAAAGACTTTAGATTCAGCTGTCCAAATGCCTTGTGATTTTATAAACCTCTATAAAGTCACCCTTCAGCCTCCAATGCTCCGGGGATGAATGCCCCATTCAGCCTCTCCCTTAGCTCAAATCATTCAATCCTGGCAACATCCTTGTAAGATAACAAGGTGTAGAGCTGGATGAACACAGCAGGCCAAGCAACATCCTTGTAAATCTTTTTTGCACCATTTCAAGTTTAACGTATCTTTCCTATACGAGGGAGGCAAAAATTGATTGCAATATTCTAAAAGTGACCTCACCAATGTCCTGTACAGACGCAATACGACATCTCAACTCCTGTATTTAATGTCCTGACCAATGAAGGCCAATGTGCCAAACAGCTTCTTCACAACTCAGTCTACCTGCGACTCCGCTTTCTAGGATTGTACATAGGCTGCTCAACTGAATGTCTGGGAAAGCTTTTCTCAAAGTCAGTGAACATGCATTACAATTTAGATTTAATTCAGGACATATTTTTATTCCCTAAAGCCTTCCTTCATATCCAACTACTTCTTTACAGTTATGACTAATAGTAACAGTTGCTTTTAATTTAGTTTCTTCGTTTGGCTGTAGAATTGCTAACATTGAAAAATTCACCAAAAAAAATTGACGATCACACAGACTATGGGTTCCCGAATTGTGCTTTAAGTGGAATTTACAAATGTACTCCTGTGTCCGACCCCTCTGAAACCTCCAAGAGACTGGACTGACTCACCCAGTGTGAACACTGGCTCTGAATATAATCGTTAGAAATAGCAGCATCATTCACAATGAACTGCAGTTCTAAAACACATTCCACATTATCTAGGTCCAGTCTGCAATCTCACTCTGGACGACGGATATTTTGAAATCGTTAATACAACATGGCTGCAGGCGAACAATGAAACTTGTCCAAATGGATCTGCAATCTCCGTTCCTCACCACGGTCCGAGTGAGCAATACTGGGAGTGAGTACATTGCTGCAGAGAGCAGCACCTGCAAACTGCACAGCAGGGGCAGTAACCCCTCTGGTGATGATTAGTTGGTAAATTGTCCCTTTAATGAGAGACAACTTATTTGATTTCAAGAGACGTATTTTTTATATAACACTCCTGTTACAAAATAATATCATAACAGAGGTCCTTCGTTGACAACACCCTGTTTCTAACACTGCAGGTTTACCTTAATATTTAAACAACGAAACATATATTGAACATTTTCTATTTAATTAATCAAGGAAGGGATTTACCACTAGAATTTTTAAGCATTATTTATTATTATCTGTGACTGATATCAGCTCTCTGTTTTAAATTCAATACAGCTTTGTGTTTAACCCATAGTCTGGGAAGTGAATTGGGGTAATCTGCCCAGGAGCAAATACCACATTTAGGAATAAGTAAGGGATGAATTTATTGGGAGACACAGTGACTAAACCTGGTAGCTTTAACAGTTCAAGGTAAGGCAGTTAATGAAAAACTTTCAGGAAAAACTTTCAAATCAAATCAACTCTCCAGGGAATCTCATCAACACTGACAATTTAAGCAAAGACATATACCATAATAAAACAATAGAAATACGGAGAAATTATTAATGACGTCAAATGTCATATAAATTCTCATCATTAATCCAAGACTAAAAGTCAAAATGATTTGTTTGGGAAAATATTTAAATCCATGTGAGACAAAATACTCAGTTGCATTACATCTAATATGTTGTGAGAATGATGGACAGTGTTCTTGTGTAATACATTTTTCTGTGATTTTTTTTCAGTAAAGTGGTTTTACACCGTACAAGTTCAATGGATGAGACTGGAGAGATAGTCTGGTATTTAGCTCTCTGTCTGCTTCTGGCCTGGCTGATAGTTGGGGCAGCATTATCAAAAGGAATCAAATCTTCAGGAAAGGTAAGTGATTGGCAATGGTTAGAGTTAAAACCAGTGATAAAGTAAAAATTCTTGAGACAATAAAAAATAAGTTTATAAATTATTTGTGAAGTGGTTGGTTTATCTCCCTGCTGATGTTAACAGTGCCTCTTTGGAGAGTGGGAGATCCATAATTCATCAACACTTCAGACCTGAGGTAAATTTGAATCCAAATCATCAAAGACTGATATATACAGCCAAAGATGCATGTCAGGTCCCTATGGATATCCTGTTGCAAAAAATTATATGGGAATTGTGTGGGAGGTTTCAACCTCTAATAGGCAATTCCCCTGCTCTTGGGACCCTCTTTGAATGTCTCTGACTCTAAGTTTGCAGATTTTGCCTCAGCAGTTACCCAGGAACTATTAGACAGACTGAAACCTAGTCTAACTCCACATCCACTGTACACCTGACATCCCAATGACACTTATTGAATCCCTGATGACTTGACCCACTTGCACCTCCTGACTACCTAAATACTCCTGACCCCCATGATGACGCTCTTAAATACCCCACTGGTCTCCTGCCCACCGGACAATGTCCCTGAGCCAAACTCAACGAACTCCCCCAAAATCCAACAATACACCCCCCACCCCTAATACAACCAACCAATGCCAAATGTCTGCTCAGTCATCTACCCACTCACTTACACTCTCTCACACATTCACTCTTATGCTCGCTCGACCTCTCACTTTCTCACTCTCTCTTGTTCTCGTTCCCTCACGCCTTCATTTTCTCACCAACTCATTCTCTCACTCACTCATTTACACTCTCTCCGTCTTTCTCTCTCTCTCTCAAACACACACTCACACACACACGCACACACACTCGCTGTCTCTCACTCTCGCTCTCTCACACTCACTCACAATCACTCTTTTGTGCTCTCGTTCGCTCACTCGTTCTCTCACACTCTCACTCTCTCTCTTGCTCACACACTTGCTCTCTCACTCACACACTCACTCACAGCCTCTCTCTCTCTTTCACAGCCTCATCTATTTACTAACAATCAATGGCTGGACATTTTAAATTTACTGTACAATAAGTAATGCTATAAAAAGGGTATGTATCTTGTGTTCTCACAGCTCTCTGCTCTAACAGAGATCCCTGTGGATACTGCACTGTTCATTCCTATGGCTGCCAGGATCAGAAGACCCTTTCATGTGTGGCAGCATCCAGTCAGGAAAATCATGGGAGTGCAGCATCAATCAGCTTAATGTTCCTGCTGCTCAGAAGATTCAGAGCATTTTAACTAGTTATACATTTTCACACAAAGATTTCTGTTCTAAAGAATGCAAGGTTAATACTTACCACATATAGAATTACTTTTCAGCAACCCGCTTATCTACTGCATCGGGTCCAAACATGCAGTCAGAAAGGGAAACTACTGAAGGTCTGTCTGACTGTACCACTAAGTATCTCAGCAACTACTTTCTCCCCTCTGGGAGAATTGCACACGGACACTTCTGCCTTTGATACCAGCTCCTGCTGCTGTGCTCTTCACTCAGTCCTACATTTGCCTCTACCAGTCAGTGCATTGAGTATAGGAGTCAGGATGTCATGTTGTGGCTGTACAGGATATTGGTTAGGCGACTTTTAGAATACTATGTTCAATTTTGGTCTCCCTGCTGTGAGAAACTGTTAACTTTGAAACGGTGCATAAAAGATTTACAAGGATGTTGCCAAGGTTATAGGGTTTGAGCTATGGAGAGAGGCTGAATAGGTGACCTTATAGAGGTTTATAAAATCATGACGGGTAAGAGTGAATAGCCAAGGTCTTTTTCCCAGGGTAGGTGAGTCCAAAACTAGAGGGCATAGGTTTAAGGTGAGAGGGGAAAGATATAAAAGGGATCTAACGGGCAACTTTTTCATGCAGAGGGTGGCATGTGTATGCAATGAGCTGCCAGAAGAAGTGGTGGACGCTGGTATAACGTTTAATTGGCATCTGGA